ATTGTCACTTTTGTTTTAACTTTGCCTACCATTCATGCATGTACAGTTTCTGTAGCCAAAGTGATTTGGTGCTATAGATTCTGGAGTCTCCATCAAAGAATGAGTACTCCATTGATATGCTACTGAATTTTCTGCGATTTTACCAAACCATTTGCCAAATAATAGACTTCGACAGTTTAAAATGGAGCTGTGATTGGCCGTGTGGCTCAACTTTTCAACCAGAGGTTGGTATTAAAAGGAAAACTTGGGAGGACCATTGCAAAAATTAAAATTCCCCCAGAAAAAGCTGAAAAAACTAGATGGATGGTCACTGTCAAAGCTGAAAACAGTTCATATGATACCACCCAATATGATGTGATTCCTGGCGTTTTATGTTAAATTTATTCAATTCATTGTCGATTTATTTATAAGTCCTATTCATCCGGTGTTGTTTCAACCCATCTATTTAGTGGATTTACTTGTTTAGCACCAGAATCTATTAAGACTAATCTCAAACCTCGTATTTGTTTTTGAGGTATTGTGTTTAAAATTGTCAATAGTCATTGTTCAGATTGAATGCTAATTACTGAGAGCATTGAGGGTTTTAAGTTAGGATAGACATGACATTCAACATCAATAATGTTTCCTCTTCAAAATTATTTCGGGTCAATTTGAGAGGTTTGGCATTCAAATCTTGCCAAAGGTGAGATATGAATGCAACAAGGGAAAGTTGTCGTCTAAGTGCTTGACAAAAATCTAAATTGGTCTACTTTTTTTTTTTTTTTTTTTTGTTTTTATTCCTTTCAAATCGTGGTGGAGATTTGAACTACGACCCTTGTTCCAAGTGGACCAAACTTACATTATCAGCCCATCGCTTCAATACCTTGTGTGACAGAGAGAGAACACAACTTGATCTTAAGGGTCTATACAAGGAGTCCATCTGCGACCAGTCACACGTTCTATTTCAAGCTGTCCTTTTCTCAAATTTCTTTTCATTCTAATTTAATTCAAACTTAGGGATATAATGGATCTATCATAGCCCATTGTCTTAGTATTAAACCCATGTTTAGATTGCAATTTAATGTATGATAATAGGTTAAAAAACAAAAACACTTTCCATTCAATCCCATTTAAAAAAGGTTCGAAAAATAAGGATTTTAAACATGTAATAGACACTCAACTCAATTCCAATCCAAATACCAAAAAGGATCGATGAAATTGGATAGGACAATGTATATGGTGCTAGATGATACTTAAATATCAGACTAGCATTAACAAAAGTCATTAAGGTCGAAACTATATAATATAATTTAAACATGATATTAGATGACCACCGGACTAGTTTAATTTAATGCCATCTCCTATTACCCAAAACAAACAAACTCTTAAGGGACATGAATTTATGAAAATAGCCAATTAAGAGGTTAATTTAAGCTCAAATAATGAAGGTTATACCACGGTCTAGAACATCACCTAGGTCGGATGAAGTCCCAAATGAGGGCCTCAGGGTCGGCCCGATCATTCGCCCAATAAAGCTGCCTAGGTTTTACACCTCACTTCAGAGAATACCACATAATTGATAGGTGTGAATTAATAGTCTAAACAAAAAATTTGAATCCATAAGAAATATATTCCATAAAAAACTTAGATTTAAACTAAAACAAAAGAATTCAAGTTGAATAAATTGAGCTTATTAATTTAGCCCATGAAATTTGAAGGCCTTACATTTCAATTTTTTTTCTAAATAAAAGAAAAAAAGGCTAACAGTAAAATAAAAACTACTAAAAAAATCAAGTTCAAATTTACCATCATAATTTTTCAATCATTCATTCTCTCTCTCTCTCTCTCTCTCTCTCTCTCTCTCAAGTTTAAATATGGTAACAAAAGTTAGAATATAAAATTTTAATTAATATTTTTACATTTCAAAATTTGAAAATTAAATTTATTATTAATATTAAAAAATAAAATATACCATTTATTATTTTCATTTTAGGCCCCAAACTGTCTCGGTCAGCTAAGAGATAGATTGTGGTGACAAAGTGAATGTAGAAAAATACAAAAATGTAAACTTTAAACCTTCATTATACAAGGGATTCTCAAACTGTCCGAACCTTAGCCCAAAGCATACATATTTAATAATACAAGTCTAGGAAGTTACAACCCCCCTCTCTCTCTCTATCTCTCTCTGAAAGGGGTTTACATATCTCAAGTACGAAAGCTTGTCAAGCCGTATGCAGATGCCTGCGTCGCTCAATATCTGCGGTGCAGAGGTCATAACATAAGAGAAGCCAATTTAATGGTCATAGTCAGGGAGTAATGGAGGACTGTAACTAGCTACAACCTAAAATTTGAACCGGAGCGCTAAAAAAAAGGATGGGAGAACAAGAATCAAATGGCATTGTGTCCTACCGAAATTGGCAGCGTATGTTTGTGTTTATCATCTTTCAGATAAGGGGGACATTTTGAGGGGAGATTTGATTCTGTTCTTAATCTCAAACCTATATTAACAGTAAGAAAAAATAAGCAAAACCAAGAACTACAATCTTCTCTAAGTTCCTCAAGATAAGCAAACAAACTATGTCTGGTACTCGACTTTCCTCTGCCATTTTCACACTCTTCATCCTTTTCCTCGCGGTTTCTACGGGTATGATGATTGTGTCATGAGCACACCATCCCATTCTCTGATCTTTACATCCATTTCTATAAACCTGTGACAACTTTAAATAGAGTATGCGCCTGTATTTTTAATAATTAACGAAACATTAATCCGGTTAAAGTTTCGAAACAATGTCTTATGTGATGCAGATATTCCTATAGTAGAAGCAAGGATCTGCCAAAGGCAAAGCAAGAGCTGGACAGGGGTTTTGTGGAAACACGGGCAACTGTGATCGTCAGTGCAGGAACTGAGAGGGTGCATCTCATGGAGCTTGTCATGCCCAATTCCCAGGATTTGCTTGTTTCTGCTACTTCAACTGTTAATCAAGTGTTACTCTATACGGCTGCAACTGAGTTTGAATACTAGCTATAGACGCTATACAATAAGAAGCCACTGCTAACCATTGTCCTCCAGTGTGTGTGTAATAAGAAACTAGTCTTTACTCATGACAACCTAGTCTACTAAACGAGTTGACACACAGCATTCCTAAGTTGCAGTTATGTTTTTCAGTGATGTTTATTAACTTTTGTCCATTCCATGAAAACTTTCTCTTTGCCATCTGAAATAGAAGCAAAATTCTAGATAAAGACTGCATAAATCTAGACTCCACGACGCTTTTTTGCACCCACCCCAGCCAAATATCCCCAAGAGCTACCATCGTTAGAGCTGGGAAATCAAAACAGTAACAAGTTACTATATAATGGAGTTAGACTTTTAGCAACTTTGTTTTTTGGTTGATAAAATAGCCTTTTGTTTTTACCCCCTTGAAATCTAAACCAAAGATCCATTATACATCAGACATAACTTTATCCAACAATCGTCTTGGGTCTTGGCTAGAATGGGATAACACTGTCAGACTTGTTAATCACATATGATAAATCAAAAAAAAACACAGTTTGTTAACACCTAAAATAAATTGAGGAAGCAAGAGTTTTGATGGCATGTGATATATGGGGTATGCAGGAATCGGAATGTGGAACAATTTTGGAACAGTATTGAGGAACAGAAATTCCTATCTGTTTTCTAAATTGAAGAATCACGATTGTTGAAAGACTCATGTGGTGTATCTTTTTCCATTCTCCTCGACAGCATAGGTTGACAACTTCATTTGACAAACTGCAGAAAGAGAAATATATTACGCAATTAAACAGAAAAGAGCCTTTATTTATCAAACTAAGAAACTGTGGTGAGTCAAACTTGCAAGAAAAATGTAAAAACTACAATCTAATGTTTGTGGTTATATCCTACATATATTTACCACCATAGAAAGTATACTTCTATAATCATCATATTCATCCAAACCAAATCAGAAATTAGTGCATATGGTCCCAACAGCCCATCTACCACAATACATGCACAACAATGAGATATTTGGTGGATATGTTCTCATAAGAATACCTTTCTCATCGATAATTGACAACAACTGAGACTTAAACTAATGGCCACACCAAACGAGATAACATGAGTTTGATGCCCACACCAAAATCACTTGGCTTGGGATTCGTAATGATCTTGAACATCGGTTCCGGTCTTCTTCCTCAATGCAATTCCTTCCTTGGCTGTCATTTGCATACAAGTAGCTAATGCTAATGGGGATGCCCTAAAAATGGAGTAACTTGCTTACACTACACAAGGCATCATTATACGATAAACAATTGTCAAGTGGAAAAAGACCATTCGATTCGCCCTGACCGGATCACATAGCATTAGCATTAGTGGAATGGTAAGCTTTGCAGCAGTAGGAACAAAACCTCATAAGCTACCCAATCCCCAGAAACTACATATTCATCCAATCTACTCTTCTCAATTCAATCAGAAATATAGATGAGATCTAAAAGCTACTCCAAATCAAATGGAACATTTACCTCTGACGCCAGTCCTTCTCAATTTCTTTAGTTTCTAACCTTGCATTATCCAGAAAAGTATGCATATAAGAAATGCATGAAGCAACATTATATGACTAAAAGAAACAAAATAATCTCCCAGGCATACACTGAAATTAGAAGACCAGACTATATTGATTTAGAAACGATATGATGGAACAATATATAGCAGAAAGACGATCATTAATCTTTTTTTTTTTCTTTTGAGGGGGATATGTACCAGTTGGCTATCTTTTATCTCAGCATCAATTTGTCAGCACCTAAATGCCATATACAGTCATTACCGTAGAATTCAATCAAGAACAATGGCACAGAAACTGAAGGAATCCCAAATAAGATCACAATCTAATCTCCCACTGTCAATTTCAAAGTATGACATTAAATTACAAAAGAACACTCAAAACTGAACCAAAACCCTAAATTAGTTTTTTGTTTTTTTGGGAATTACCGTCAAATAGGACCAACAACAACAAGGGCAACAACTACTTCTTCTTGCCGCCTTTGCCAGAGCCAGACTTGCGCTTGGGAGGGAGTATAATCTCTCCTTTAAGCACAGGAATCTCCATGAACTGATCTAGACCTGCGAACTTCTTCCGAAACTTCTCGACCTGATCGGCGTCGACGAGAAGCTGGGATCGGCTGCCCAGGTAGAAAGGATGGTTTCCGGACCACACGTCCACCACGTACTCCTTCTTGGTCCCACCGGTCGTCATCACCAGCTCTCCATTGCAGTACACCTTAGCGTCCTCGTAGAACTGAGGGTGTATGTCCTTCTTCCTGCACGTCCACCGTGGGGGATTCGCCCCCAATTTCAATTTACTCGCCTAAATTGAAGAGCAAAAACAACAAAATTAAGCTGAAATTTGGAGAAACTGAATATGGTTTCTGTAGAATTAGAGGATAATATGATGCTTGAACTTACCTTGTTGATGGAGAGGGTTGAAGGAGGGAGGTGTATCTGGAGGAATGTGTTGGATAGAGTTAGCGCCATTTCTGCTTCGCTGTGTGTGTGTGTGTGTGTGTGTGAGAGAGAGAGGCAACGAGAATTGAGATAACAACGGTCGTCCACTCCTGATGTGGTGAACCAATTACAGGAATACCCCTACTAAAATATGGTTGTGGGCCTGACTGTTTTGGGGCTAGCCCTAGTAGTGTGAAGTTGGCTCACCCATTGACATTTGGAGTTGGGTACATGATGGGCCGGTGTTGAGAATTTATGGATCACTTATCGTTCTACTTATGATTTTTAATGAATTGGATTTTAATCTAAATTAGATTAACTAAATATCTATATAATAAAATAACTTACAATTCAAATTTCAAAAGATAAACAAAATAATTTTTGTTATTCGCGGTTGAGATCACTTTAAATTTTACTTTAAAGTTAATCTAAGGGCTAAAATTAAAACTTCAAATTTAATAGGAAAAAATAGGTCCTTAAAGGTGTGTTTGAAATAATTTTTTAAAAGTGTTTCTAAAAATTATTTCTCATAAGTATATATATATATAAAAAAATATATATATATATACCACCACCGCTGCCGCCGCCATCATCGTTGCCGCTGTCGCAGTCATCATCATCACTACCACTACCACTACAACCAACTATCTCTTACCCCTACTATAAATCGATGTTTAAATTCCTTTATCTCTTCTCTATGTTTGCAATTTAATTTTGGATATGAATATAAATATATTTATTATTTACCATTTTTTTATTACTCTGTGTCTTCAGGCACAGGCAATATAACTAGTCTATATAATAAAGTAACTTATAATTCAAATCTCAAAAGATTAACAAAATGACTTTTGTTATTCGCGGTTGAGATCGTTTTAAATTTTACTTACGAGTTAATCTAACGGCTATTATTAACACCCTAAATTTAATAGGAAAAATAGGGGCCTAAGAGTGTATTTGAAGTGACTAAAATCCTTTTAAAAATTATTTCTCATAAATATTTTTAAAAAAATAATATTTAAAACTGTCCTACCACTATTTCTACCATCGCCGCCGCCTTCGTCACCACCATCACCACCACTAGGGTCATTGTCGCCACCGTCGTCGTTGCCACCACTATCACTACTACCACCACCACCACCACTATCGTTACCACCACCACCAACATCATTGTCACTGTCGTCGCCACCCCCACCCCCATAATCGTCGCCGCTATTGCCACCACGGTTATTATCACTCACCACAATCATTATCGTCTCCTACCATCAACACTGTCGCCCACCATCTCTCACCCCCACTACAAATCGATACTTAAATTTCTTTGTCTTCTATATATTTGTGATTTGATTTTAAATATAAATACAAATATGTTTATTGTTTACCATTTTTTATTACTCTGTGTCTTCAGACACAGACAATAACTAATAAATTAATATTTTGCTACCAATTATTTGAATTTGAATTTAAATTCAATATCTTATATTTCATGAATTCAAATTTAAATAAACTTACATTTAATCCGATTATGATCCGATCCTATATCGGTAATTATCTATAAGCTCAATTTTTATATCATTTAAACAATCTCAACTAATCGACAACTAATTGTCCCGTTAGAAAATTGTTGATTTGGTGGGGCTGTAGGTTCGTTAGGGGTTAAAGTCAATAAACTCTTCATTGTCCCATCATTGAGTCGCAACCAAACTTATTACTTGTTATATTTGTTCATCTTCAATACGAATTGATCACTTCACTCACTTTTAGTATCTTAACCTTTTTTAAGTTTAAAAATTGATTCTCTTGGTATTTGCTTAACACATTTTAAATTGAATTTTCTCTAATGCCAGGTTTCACTAAAGTAAAGGAAATGCAAAACTTTCATTGCTAGGATTGGTAGATTTTTTTCTTTGTTTTGCTTTGTTTACTATTATTCGTATTTGAATTAGAAGTAATTATTTTAAAAATTTAATTAAATTAAGTTATTTGTTATTTTAAGGTAAGTCAAGTCTTATGTATAACCCTCGAATGCAATAGCTTGAAATATGCGTTTGTTTTTTTAGGAGGGTTGAAATCAATAATATTATAAGGACTTTTTGCGTGGATATAATTTATTGAATTCATTCATCACAATTGATAGTAGACTTTTAATAAACTAGCCATCCACAACGTACATTGCACGTAAATAAATTTAAATAATATTTTTTTATAAAAAAATTGAATTATATGAGTAATTAAATTAAAGATTAAATTAAGTGTCTAATAATTAATTCATATTTTAATTATTATTAAATAATCTGTCATTTATTTAGGTATCTCTCTAATCTCTTTAGTCATTTGTTAATCTAATTATATTATAGAATTATTAAATTTTCTTTTGTTAAATAGATTGATTATATTACCTATAATATTATTATATTATTTCATACTAAATATATTTGACCATGTAAGTCAAATTGGTAATTAGATGTGTATAATAATTTAACATACATAGGACTTTACTTCGTTATATAGATATAGAAATTTGTATGTAACTGTATTATTAATAAATGAGTTCAAAAGAAATTAGAAGTCTTTAAAAAGAGTCCAAAATAAGTTAAAAGTCAAATATGAGTAAAAAATAAAAATTAAATGAAAGTATATAGGTGAATATGATTGACTTTAGTATAATAATTAGGGATAAAATAGAAAGTCAAATTTTTTTCAAAAATACTGACATTTATAAAACTAGCAATGCACACGTGTGTTGCACATGAAAAAAATTTAGTTCATTAAGTTGTTATTAAATTTATTTCAAATATAAAGTTGATGAGTAATAAAATTGAATTATTTTTTATAAAGGTAAGTGAATAATTAAAATACCAAGAAAAAAGACATTTAATCTTTTAATCACAAAATTTGATAAATTTCAGCCCGATAAAAATACCCAAAAAATGTTAGATTTAATTTATTTATTATTGGATTGATTGTTGGTCTCAATAAATATTAAAATTTACCATCATTCAAAAATTAAGAATAATTAGGTCAATATTATAGGAGATTTGAACAAGCTTTTACAATATTAGCTACATGAGCAATAAAAAATTAGATTCATGAGAGGTTATAATAAAGCAAAAAAACATTAACATAGAAAGTTTTAACCTAAACATAGGAATTAATAAGTTAAAACATAACCAATTTAATAAACTAAAATATAATAATTAATAAACTAACCTCAATTATTATGCCGAATACTTGACCTGCCACACCAATCTCTTAGGTCCTGTTTGGTAACGTTTATGTTTTTCGTTTTTTATTTTTATTTTGATATTTAGAGAAAACAAAAAAAAAAAACTCGTTTGATAATCGTTTTTTTTTTCTGTCATCGTTTTGTAAACTAGGGGCGATTTTCAAAAATAGGAAAAAATATTTGTTGTTTTTTGATTATGTTTTTTATTTTTTAGAAAATTAAAAACCATAAACGTTACCAAACGAGCCCTTAGAAAGTTGTTCGAAATTAAATTAAAAAAAATTAAGCGCCACAAAACATAGGAATTAACGTAAACATAGGAATTAATAAACTAAAACATAGGAATTAATAAACTAACCTCAATTATGTCAAAAACTCTAACTTCGACTTCATTGAGTTTGTCAAATAAGAGCATGAGACCATAGGACTTCAAATAAATGACTATAGCAGACCAATTTCTAACTCTAACGTGAATGGAAGAAAAAATTTATTCGATAACTTTGCTGAAAAGTTTGATCCCATGATATTAGAATTCTATCTAGTATATATATATATATATATATATATATATATATATATATATATATATATATATATATATATATATATATATATATGAAGAAATTCAAAATAGTTTAAAAGTCTAATAAGTATGAAAGACAAAAAAAATATATGTATATATATCACCTAAAAATTATCAATATGTGATATTAGAATTCTAGTAGAATTTGAACAATTGAATGGAAAAGAAAGAATGTATTGTCATAGATATATAGTTTATATATATGAATGAATTCAAAATATTTTAGAAGTCTAATAAGTAGGAAAGACAAAAAAAATATATGTATATATATCACCTAAAAATTACCAATATGTGATATTAGAATTCTAATAGAATTTGTATAATTGAATAGAAAAGAAAAAATGTATTGTCATAGAGATAAAGTTTATATAGCTAATATTTTAAAAAAGTTTATATAGGTAATATTTTGATAAAATTTATCTATCAAGTCATAGAGATAAATTTTTATCTAGCTAATATTTTAGAAGTCAAGTAAGTATGAAAGACAGGAAAATATGTGGGTATAATTGGTTTTAATTAAGAGTTAAATAGAAAATCAAAATTTTTTCACATATTTTGACTTTTATAAGTAGTATAGATATAGATAAGTTAAAAGTCAAATAGGAGTAGAAAAATAAAAATTAGATGAAAGTATATAGGTAAATATAATTGATTTTAGTATAATAATTAGGGATAAAATAGGAAATCAAAATTTTTTCACAAATACTGACATTTATAAAATAAGTTAAAAGTCAGGAGTAAAAAATATAAATTAGATGAAAGTATATAGGTGGATATAATTGACTTTAATATAATTATTAGAGATAAAATAAAAAATTAAAAATTTTTCACTGATTGTGACATAATTATATGTACCTGTAAGTCCAAAATAAGTTAAAAGTTAAATAGGACTAAAAAATAAAAATTAGATGAAAATATATAATGGATATAATTGACCTATAATAATTAAAGATAAAATAAGAAATTAAAATTTTTTCATATATGTAGATATTTATAAATAGTATAGGTATGGATATAGATATAAATAGATATAAATAAAGAGATTATGGGGTTCAAATGGACAAATTATTAGACTTTTAAATGGGCTCTCCAAGTCCAAGTAGCATAGAAGTCTGAACCAAAACCACCGACTCCCACACCTCACAGATACCCAGGAATCTGTGAGTCAGATCCTACTCCGGAATTTTATAAACTCAGAATTTGCAGGGTTCTCTCGTGAAAGGCTCAACAGTCCCAGAAAACTGACCACCCTTCGTCCTTCATCATCACATTATTACGCATTCCTTCCCATTCTTTGGTCTTCTGTTTCCACTGTAACGCTAAGGCACTCTCAAACTCTGATCAGTGTATCTTTCGTCCTAATTACACTTCTCCTATAATCTTGGTCCTTGATAACCAAACCTCTAGGTGGGGGCTTATTTCGTATCTTTTCTCCAATCAGAAACAGTTGTTATCTTTTGTCACATCTGAGTACTGGGGATTCTCAGTTTATGTGGAGTTTTCTGATCTGGGTATCTCTTGTTTGGTGTCTCTATTCTTGAATATTTAATGTAGAAGTCTTTACTTGTCAGACAGTTGTGAGTTTGGGATCTTCGCGAAAAGTTGTTCTGCTTTTAATTTGGTTATCTATTGTAGTGTGGTTCCTAAGATTAATTCATTGTTCTCTCTAGCTTAAACATTATAGATTTTTAAAACCTCTGGTGAATTTTTTCGGACTTTCAGTATCTGGATTGGTGTGAGCCTATACCAATGGATTCTTGCCGTGCCATGATGAGTGCTAGGGTGAACCCAGTGCAAGTTAGTAAAGGTTTTAGTTATGAAGACAATGTGTTTTGTGGGAAGAAGATCAGGGGAAGTCTCAAGAACAGGGCATTTGGTACTAAGTTGTGGAGGAATTTGACTAGTGAAAATAGGGACAGAAAGGTTAAACCTGGGGTTACCTTCTCTGTTCTTACAAAAGATGTTAACGAAGAGCTCCTGGTGAGTTCATGACATTAATTTTTCCACTTGTTCATTATTTTTTGTTCGTTAATGGCCCATTCAATTGCAAACTAATGTATTGTTCCCATCAATATTCATACGAGACTGCGATCCTAACCATTTTTATATAATTCATAAGTGGGTCTGCATTTGACTCGATCGAGCATGTTTTAAAAGCTATTGTAATGTGATGAATCTGTAATTTTTGTATGAATATTTGCCCTTAATCTTACTCTGGTTGTTGGGGCATGGTTTCAGACCTTTGAAGCACCAGCGTTTGAGCATCCAAAGGCGGACCCAAAAACTGTAGCTTCAATCATTCTTGGTGGAGGTGCTGGGACTCGCCTCTTTCCTCTTACCGGAAAACGGGCCAAACCAGCTGTAAGAGAAAAACCAACATAGGCTTCCCCTCTTTTAGTTATGGACGTTTTAATTTGATAATTATCAGAAAATTCAATATGTTCTATTGCTGGGGGGAGATTATTCAAGCTAGTTATCATTTTCGAGAATTGAGGAGTGTTAAGCCTAAATGAATGGTTCTATATCTCCCTGAATCAAATTATAGAACTAAAAGATTTAACCTAAAGACTATTACAAAGTTCCTTGATAAAAGGTGATGATGAATTTATAACATTGTTGGTCCTATCAATAACTGCGTGCTGATATTGGTTTGGTTTTCAGGTTCCGATTGGAGGGTGTTACAGGCTGATTGATGTACCCATGAGTAACTGCATCAATAGTGGCATAAGAAAGATTTTCATTCTTACCCAGTTCAATTCTTTTTCCCTTAATCGGCACCTTGCTCGCACATATAATTTTGGAAATGGTGTGAATTTTGGGGATGGATTTGTAGAGGTAAGATGAATCATTAGACTTGTAAATGGATATACTAGTCAGTAATGTTAGAAATGATAATCTGCAGTTGAACTGAGAATTTAGTTATTTTGGCCCATTATAGGGAAATCCATATTACTAAGTCGATCAATTGTCCTTTAGGGATACAAATTTTGTTCGTTTTTGGTTCTTTTGTTGATAATCTTGGATGAACTTCATCATGGCCAAAATCTGAAATTATACGGGAACAGGTTCTTGCTGCCACTCAAACACCAGGAGATGCAGGAAAGAGGTGGTTCCAGGGAACGGCAGATGCTGTGCGGCAATTTATATGGGTGTTTGAGGTGCTTTGAATTTTTCCCTGAAAAAATTGACAAAGTAACCCCGAAATTAGGAGTAAATGTACTTGTGATCATTTTTGTAGGACGCCAAGAACAAGAATGTTGAGCACATATTGATTCTGTCTGGTGATCATCTTTACCGGATGGACTACATGGACTTTGTTCAGGTTCTTATTTTCTTCCTTCCTGGTTTTTTGTTGCATCCAATACCTTCGTATGTGTCTAAATAGTTTACTTATCATTGAGAAACGCATTTGCAGAAACATATCGACACAAATGCTGATGTTACTGTTTCTTGTGTTCCCATGGATGATAGGTACGTCTGCTAGGAGAAAATGGATGCTTCATTGCTTGCTTTTATTTTTACTATGAATTTTGAAGCTTGTTCGAAATTCTGATTTTGTTTTGCAGCCGAGCTTCAGACTATGGATTAATTAAAATTGATGAGGCAGGACGTATCATGCAGTTTGCTGAGAAACCAAAGGGTTCATCCCTGAAAGCAATGGTAGATAGAGTTATTTTCTTGATTTGATTTTCTATACTTATTGTCCTTACATAACCATTTTAACCCCAGCATCAGTGTAACAGCAACTATTTTTTCCCTCTTCAATCAAGCTGATTTCAGTTATTTTCTCAAGATAATGATGTTTCTTTGGTGATCTTATATTTGTTCTTCCTTGTTGCACTTCAGCAAGTTGACACCTCTCTTCTCGGACTTTCGAAGCAAGATGCGATGAAATATCCTTATATTGCATCCATGGGTGTCTATGTATTTAGAACTGATGTCCTACTACAGCTTCTGAGATGGAATTATCCTTCATGCAATGACTTTGGCTCTGAAATCATTCCTTCTGCTGTGAGAGATCACAATGTTCAAGTGAGATAGCGCTCTGATCTATACTTGTTGTGTTCTCACTTGTAATTTTAATGGGTTTGGGTATGTCGGGTTTTAAACCTGTAACTCTGCTGAGTTCTTGATATCTTCATATTATCAGGCATATTTATTCAATGACTACTGGGAGGACATTGGAACAATAAAGTCTTTCTTTGATGCCAACTTGGCCCTCACAGAACAGGTTGGTGTGACATTGGTGAAATGGCCTTTTGACTCTGAGTATGGCAACAAAGTTGCAATATGGAACTTGCGGTAATATTGATAATTTGTTAGTTTGTCTGATTGTCAGCATAAAACCTTTGTCATACCCACCCACAAAAATATGTGTTTGATATTTTGTTTGGACGAGATAAAAAATAAAAAAAAATTGTTTGGACACTAGATCATGCTAGGACAAAGATAAATGTGTTTTTGGTCCAAAATTGAATAGAAATACCCAGATTTCATGCATAATAAAGGGACAGATTCTGCATGAACAATGCATATTATCTGCTGTTCAAGATCTCAAGATCTTATCAGAGGTATTGGTATGAATTTGGACAAAACTTTCTAACTTATGCTTTAGGTTTGTTACGGAATACTCTCCACTGTTTAAGTGTGAATTGTAGCTCCATGTGCTGGAACTGCAAGCTAATAATGTACTATCTTTTCATGCAGCCTCCAAAGTTTGACTTTAATGACCCGAAGACGCCTTTCTATACGTCTCCTAGATTCTTGCCACCTACTAAAGTTGAAAAATGCAGGGTATGCTGATAAGCATGAATTAGTTTGCAGTTAATCTAATGTTCTTGCATAGCTCATGATTATATTGGTTCTTTCAGATTGTGGATGCAATAATCTCACATGGTTGCTTCTTGAGTGAATGTAGCATCGAGCACTCTATAGTGGGTGTACGTTCACGCCTGGACTATGGTGTTGAGCTTAAGGTGAGTTATTATGTTTTCAGCTGTAAAATACTCTTTGGTCAGTTTATAGCCACAGAATATACTCACTGATTAGGGACTCCATTGAGCTAGAGAAGTAAGCTTCTTTATGCATAGCGTCTAACCTTTATGTTAGCATGGATTCTGCTGTAAAATCAATGGAAAACAATTTCATTTGGCAGCATGAGAGTGGCAACAATTACCCCTGGATGAGATTTAAATGCATTAAATGGCCACTTGTTTTTCTTTTTCAACTTGAATGCAAATCCACAGTTAAATTGCAGGGCACAGTCATAGTAGATTGCAGTTATATTTACGTAGATTTATATGTTGAGAATGGTGAGATATGTAAGTCGGTGTTTTGGAGCAAGCACCGACCATATTTAGCAGTAACTATGTGTGTCCTTTTCAGGATACAATGATGATGGGTGCAGATTATTATCAAACAGAATCTGAAATAGCCTCTCTGCTGGCAGAAGGAAAGGTTCCCATCGGTGTTGGACATAACACAAAAATTAGGTAATGCTTGAATTGAGCAGCCTTTCATCCCCTTGTAAGAAAAAAAAATGTTCTGATGAATCATTCATTAATTTTTCATGTCATTGCCCAAACTGTTGGTGATTGATGGTCCCGCCATTTGATGGAAGAATTTATAATTATTTTACATTGTCATTTTTGTCTTAAAAACTCAGAAAAGAATGCCCCTCGTCTTATAACTGACAAATCTGTTTTTTTTTTTTTTATTTCGTTGAGTAAGTGACAAATCTGTTACTTGCAGGAATTGCATAATTGACAAAAATGCCAAGATTGGAAAAGATGTGATCATTGAAAATAAAGATGTAAGTAGAGTATTGCTTTTGGGAAATTATTTGCATCACAGCAAAATTGTATTTTTCCAATAGTTCCTCAATGTTTGCTTATATCAGGGTGTTGAAGAAGCAGACAGACCAGATGAAGGATTTTACATTAGGTCTGGGATTACTGTCATACTGAAGAATGCAACAATTAAAGATGGAACAGTCATATAAAATCCTGAAACTGTGTGACCTGATACTCAGATCGGGCCAGTAATGGGAGCTGATCATTTGCTGCTTTGCGGTATTGATTTGTTTTCAATAAAAAGCAGCTAGTAGGCTTGCTTCTGCATGTAAATTACAAGTTCATCTGATGTATGTAAGAAGGAAACTTTCAAATGTAGCAAGTTGAGTTAGTTTCTGAATAAAACAGATTTGTTTGCTTTATATATTTGTACTCTGTTTCTTTAGTAGTGAGAATAATGCTATGTAAAAGACTTCAATTACATATTTCTCTTGAGTCTACTTTCTGGTCAAACAATTCATCTCTAGGAGAGCATCCAACTTCCTCCAACTTAATTGACATCCCGAAACATATTGAGCAACTCTAACTATTGATCTCTTTTCCCATATTAATAACCCTAATTTCCCCTCTTGTTATCTCGAGATCTCTTCCGCTTCTCAATATTTCTCAGCCTGGCATACATCTTCCGAATCTTGATAAGTTTTCGTGACTCTTGGGCAATCAAACTAGCTGTTGAGGGGCTTTCACTTAAGACTATCTCATAACCATCACGGTAAGAGTCCATTCCTTCAGTAAGAAGTTGCCAGAACAAGCCACCGGCAGCTGCACCTCCACCCCTAGCCGATGAAAAGATTGCTGAATAAACCGTATTGAACAGTAGGTCCCTCTGGTTTGTGTTGAAACCAGGGTCCTTGTTTGATTTTCCAAACTCTGCAAAAAAAAGTGGCTTTCCAAGGATGTTTTGTGCATCTTGAGTGTGATTGTTGAGCCAGTTGTTCAAAAAATGAAGTTGGGATTCATCGTTTTCACCGGTTAACCTGCCCATAAACAGTAAAGGAAATTCAGGGCGAGGAAAGAAAGGGAAAAAAGAGGGGGACTGGTTGTTTGTGCATGATGTAATTCTCTGATAGTTACCACTGATCAGGATATGAGTGAACTGTAGCAAAATCAATGTCTGCAATCTGATTATTTGCTATGAAATCAGTTCCTACTTGAAAGTTTGGATTGTATTGCTGCTTCTGAGGTTCTGATTCTCCATAAAACCCTTCCAAACCAGCTTCTAGTAAGTGATTACCATCTATAGATTTCAAGTAAGAAGCCATTTCTGTAATCCAAGCCTGTAGAAAAATTGCAGTCAAGTAAATGAAGCAGCTTTCATCAACTATCCTGAAATGAAAATAACGGCCAATCTAATTGAGAGCAAACAAATCATGCTAGTGCTTTGTTAAGTCATGTGAAGGGTGTGGGTAAGTTCACAGACTACACACACAAAGAAGTTTGTAAAGAAATGTTGCTGAGAATAGATCTCTAAGTGAATTGATGTGGAGGCAAAAGTAGGAGGAAGATGTTTCTGACCTGTATGGTTTTCCCTGATGTATCTGAAGTGCATCGAGGCTCATTCATAAGCTCCCAAGCCATTATTGTAGGATCATCCTTGTAGGCAACTCCAGTTATGCTGTTTTTCCTTGTAAGAACAGTCTATAAAAAATTGAAACATTGAAAATTAGTCAATATTCGAGTAGATATCACCATTCTGATTCACAATGGCTAATCACTGTCTGTATTTGGTGGTCTATTCAGCAAGAACAAGATTAAAAAATATTTGGAGACGTAAATTATAGATCACCTTGATATGATTTTTGTAGTATCCCTTCACCACAGAGTTTGTGAAGAAATCATCATCAGAAGATAAGTACTGCCCCTGACTTCTTGCCCAGTCCACATACTGTTTCCTTCCTCCCAAGTTTTCATAGTTATTCACCAAGCTAAAAATTAGCTTAATCCCATATTTTCCAGCTTCAGAGATTGCAAAATCCAGTCCCTTCAAGAAAAAAAAAAAAACCCAAAAAGAAAAAGAGGTCAATAAGAAAATAAGGTAAAAATTGTGTGGATCAGAAGTGTCATTATACCACTAATTACAAAGGGAGAGAAAATGAAAGCAGAGAAATCTCAATCTCAGGCTAACCTGAAACATTTGTTCATTGTAGGAGCCAGGTGAGTACTGTAGAGGTGAATATCCACCATCACTGAAGGCCCAAGTTCTTGCCACTGCAAGGCCATGGTTTACAGCTTCTTGGAAAGCAGAAGAGACTTTGTTTCTCTGAGATGTGTCAGAGGCCACAAACATTAGCCAATAGGCATTGAACCCGTGTGCATAGAAAGGGCTACCATTCAACATAAAATGTACACCTCTGGTTCTGATGAACCCATCACCAGCTGAAACTTGAAACAATAAACCCTGTTCTTGGATCAAGAAAAGAACCAAGAAAAGTAGACCCCGGTGCCTCATCTCTCTCTCTCTCTCAATCTCTCAATCTCTCAAAATGTGGGAAAGAAGCATATAAATGTAAATCAACGCAGTAACTCTCTTTAAAATGGAGCAGGGAAGCATATATCCTGATAAACTAAACAAGGAAAGTTCATAAAGTTTGTGGTTGTCTGTATAGTTGGGCAACCTAAAAGTTTTATATAGCACTACCCTCTACCTTGACAAATTTTTCATTGGGTTTAACACACCACATGATACTGTCATGTGGTGTACATCAATAATAAAAAATTATACATGTCCAATAAATAGTTATCAGTTATCATCTTGTTAATTTTTTTTCAAAAAAACCCAACTTATGTGCGCAGCCCATAACAATGTCATGTTAAATCTATACACAATTTTATCAGTTAGCTAATTAATATTTTTTGGGGCACTATAGTGCATCATGAAAGTTGAGTTTAGGGATCCCTACCCTTCAACATTAATAGATGGTCCACTTGACACAATCATATTTTCTTTCTCTCCATGATTATCGTCATCATGACATAAACTTAAAATGCACATATTTACCTATAAATCAGGCATATTAAATCAACCAGTGGGACTCTTACAAGACTCAACCTTTACACATACATTGTTGGTACAAATTTTTGCACAACTCAAGGATTTTGGCTGCCTTGGGTTAATTCTTTGGGCGACCCCTAGTATCTTTTACCTCTCAGTGTTCGTGCGGAGTTTCGTCCTACATCGACTGAAAATCGTTTCCCCCACCCCCTTATAAGCCTGAGCCCCTTAAGGATGGGTACCCACTAGCCACTTGATCAAGTGGCTAGTGGGTACCTCATCTATTGAGGCCAAGGGCTTATATGGCAGGGGCGAGACAACTCTTAGTCGATATGGGATAGAGTTTCGCACGGACACTGAGAGGTAAAGACTACTAGGGAGTCGCTCAAAAAGTTAATCTAGGTCAGCCAGAATCCTTGAGTTGTGCAAGAATTTGTACCAACATACATCAAGATTTTTTTTTGCTTATAGAAAAAATAGGGTGGGAGTAAAGAAGAATGCTTAAAGATCATTTTGATAGATTTTTTCTATTCGCGGCCGTTATACTTCTCGGTAATGAACCTAACTAGACTAGCATAATGATCAATTACCGATTCTCAATGTAAATTCTAAGACTTAAGCTTTTAACCTGAAAAGTTTAATCGGTACCCCACTTGACCATCATACTTAGTAGTGCACATACATCAAAATGATAACACAGAAGCTCTTCTCATCCGAGCCAAGCCTTTTTTTTTTCAATTTTTTTTTTTGGAGTTAAGTGGTTAATTTAGTTAGCAAAATGGGATTGTGAGGAGGCCAACATAGGAAATTTCATAATACTACAAAACTCAAATAGAATCGAAAAAATGTAACTTAAATGCATATTATTTTTTGGATAAATGTTAGATGAGTAGGTTCCACTTAAAAAGTTAATGAATCGTAACTTTTAAAATTTTATTTAGATTATGTAATAGTACTTTTATGCTCTGTTTGGTAAAAAAGATAAAAACTAGAAAAGATATATTTTATATCCTTTAAAAAAAAAAAGTATGAATGATACACTTTCATTATTTTGTGTTTGGTAGAATGAATGGAAAATAAAAATAATTTTTTTTTTTTTGTGATTGAAAAGATGGAAAAAAAATTATTTTTTATTTTTAAATTTTTTTAAAAAAGTATAAATAAATATTTTATCATTATATTTATATTTGAAATTAATTTATACATAATATATGTATATATCAAAGGATACAAAAACAAATAAAATATATTTCAACACAAATAATTAATTTTTCATCCACTTCCCTTTTAAATTTAGAGAAATTGATTTTTGTGAGTTAGAAAGAAAGTTCATCCATCCACTTTTTTATCTTTTTTATTTTCTTTTTTTACCAAACATGATATTTTATTTATCTTTCAAACTTTTCATTTTTCTAACTTTACATTCTTCAATTTTTTCATTTTACCAAACGAAACATTAGTCTTAGTCTCTCATTTTCAAGGCCTTCAACTTTGTTGTCATTATAGTCAATACATATAGAACAATGCTATAAAATTCAAAAAATTACAACCTAAATACATATCATCTCTTGGATGAATGAGTCTTATCAATTTTTTTAGTAAAGACCACTCCTTCCACATTTATCTAAAAAATGATATGTATTTAAATTTTAGTTATGTTATATAGCATTTTTCATACATATATACATGCATTTAACTAAAAAAAAAAAACTAGCTATAAACCAAAAAAAACTAGCTATAAACTAGACCTGACAATTTTAGACACGACTCGTAAAATCGACACGGATTTAGCGGGTTTGGGCGTAGTCTTAACAGATTCGGGTGATTAACGAGTTAACTTGGTAGATCCGTAAAATAAATGAATCGGTTTCGTGTTTAACTCATAAACTCGTTTCAACCCGTTAATAATTGTACTATAATTTTTTTTTAAAAAGTTAGGTCTTTGAGCCTCTCCCTCATCTCACACCTACCATCTCTTAAACTCATTCAAATTTAGTAGTCATTTAATATTTATTTTTTGTCTTTATTTTTTTTGCTCAGCCTTAATTTATTGTTATTGTAAATAAGTTAAACATGTGTAATGTGTAGCAAATTGATAATTTTTCATGTATACTTGAAATACTCTAACTTATTATCTTATTTAGCGGATGACACAAGGGTTATATTAGGTAACCCGTCTAATAAATGATTTGGGTATGGATGTAATTGTTGGACTTGTTCATATAAACGAATGGAGTATGAATTGAGAATTTTTTGACACAAACTCGTTCTATCCAACACAAAATCGTTTCAATCAACACGATTGTTAGGCGAATTATAAACCACTGCCGACACAAAAAAAACAAAAAACAAAAAAGTGGCTATGCGTGGCTTTGATAAGAGGGTCGTCATATTTTAAGGTTGATTGTTGAGGTGAGGTTTCTATAAGTCATTGTCATTTGGTTTGATTTCAAGCGTTTAATCCAAGCCACGGTTTATGAGTGAACAGGCAGAAGACAAGTGCGGAATGCTGGAAAGTCACCTAAATTACCCACACATCACGGCAGTAAATGAGCAAATCAAGTGGGAACTGACTCATCCTCCTCTGGGGCACTGTCTCTACCATAAAATAGCGTAAATCACGGCAGCAATGCCCAACACAAGCATTTATGTGGCAGCGAGATTTTTTCCACTACATTTTCCTTTCTGTTTTTTCATTGTACAATACTACGCATACTAAAGTTTTTATCAAATTTAATTATTGAATTCCACCGACTTTTTTTTTTCTTTTAACAGTTAAAGGTATTCGAATCAATTTTCATGCACATTGATTTATTAGGGTATACATAAAAAATAAATCATTTATGATGTGTCTCACAAAACGTGTGAATTTACAGTTAACACTTAAACTATTATTGGGGTTGATTTCATTGACTTTTACTAACCATTCAACGACTGTCAGCTTGCAATATTATTTGGTATTCAAAATTTGATACAAATTTTTGGTATGTAGAAAATATTTTTTGTGAATTAAAGTAGAAATTATTTTGTATTTAAGTGGGTCCTTCCATGATATAAGAAATTAAGGAGTTTGATTTAGGGAAAAAAATAGAATAAAAATATATTGAAAGATATTTAGGTCCATTTTTTGTGGGAACTGGTCCACTGGAGCACTGTCAGAGAAAGGAAATGAATTAGTCACGCGAGGCAACTCTTGTTTGTATCGGATTGTTAAGGTGGTGAGTGGATTGTTATTGGGTTGTCCAACTCTTGTAGAAATCGAAGGACAACTCAATCCTAATTTTAGATCATCCAAAATAAATTTAAGTGAAACTCACCATATTCGTATGAATCTTCCACTAACAAATGAATAAATTATGTAGAACTGAGGTATAGTATCAAAGATTATTCTTATTGAAATCTAGTATAGAGATTATCCTTAGACACAATAAGATTGAGTGCTCGTACAAAAACTTATTTATGTGGTCCAACTATGTCTTCAAATTATCATACGTACATTGACGGACTGTTTTTGGACATGGAGGGACAACATAACGTGGTGGTCGTGAATTATGTGGACTTGCAATGGAAACTCCTTCAAACATACAAAAGAAGGTCAAAAGAAAGGAAAGCAAGAAGAGAATCACGCCTGTTCGGAAGGTGACTTTGGCGTGGTATTCAATCTTACAGGACATCCGTCGGCAAGCTTATATATGTGTAACATGTTTCGAATATAATTGTCAATTATATATGAAAAATTTATTTTTCATGAATATCTTATTTTTAGAGATAAAAAAAGAAATTAGTCGAGGTGTGCATAAACTGATCCATACATTCCTAACCGTTGAACAAAAAAAAAAGTTAAGTGTTGGTTGTTAAGGAAGAGAGATACGAGAAATAAATAAAAGTTACAAGGAATAAGAAGTTATAGATTGTAAATTAAAATAGATTTGTATTTTTTATTACCTTAAATTATGCAATTAAAGTACTAATAAAAGAAAATTGATGGTACTCGAAACTAATAGACTTGGGTCACAAAATAAAATTGGGTGAGGCCCAACATGTGCGTGATCACATAAGCGGGTGCTTGTGAAGGTGTATGTTGTGAGTTAGCAAAGAAGAGAAGACGAAACTCAAGTGATTCTCTTTAGTCAAAAGACTAAGGTTGCATCCACTGTAAAGAAAGTCCTTACTCCTTAAAGTATTGTATTACTGGAGGAAGATAGTGATTATTATAGAGAGTTAGGCTTGGGCCGTTACAAGGTATTACCTGATTCTCTCCCGTTAGCTTACAGGTGACTTCTCTCACTTACTTCTCGGTCTCTCTCCCTGTGTATGATAGCACTCCTAGTTATTTATATTACTGATGACTAGGGTTTCACATTCATTCTTCTTAGCTAATTTAGTGGTCTCCTCTACAACCATTTCCACCTTAGCGCTATGGTCCCAAACATTTTTGATTCTACTATTTATAGATTATTGTCTTTGATTCGTCTCCGCTATATGTGGATTGCTGTTAATCAGAGCCGTCTGATTGTATTCTCTTGTCCTTTGGACACGTGTCCCTTTGCAACTTTTTATCGTATCCTGAGCTCATATGTGCCGAGCCCATTCAACTCGAGCTTCCCTTAGTCACGTTCTGTCTCCGTGGTGTATCCCAGTTCGCACCCAAATGGGGAGTTCCCCGAATGGACTTCTTGGGTTGCAATATGTAGGCTTAGGCCCACAAGAACCCAGACTTACACTGACCACTATCAGAGATAATATTATTTTGTGTATGCTTTACCAAAAGGAAAGGAGATCATATTAATACCCCTTATTTCTCTTTATTAATGGTATAAAAGAATTGAGAATAAGACACTTAAAAAAAATGGTGAAGCAAGTGTTATTTTTTTTCTTTTGGGTGAGGTTCCCCTCCAATCTCACACGAATTGGGGATCCTCCAATTCTCTTTTGATTGTTAGAATTTTATGCGTCAGGAGAAAAATTAATTTTGAATTTCATAAATTCAAGATATTTTTTTTTAATTAAATGAATTTGGTGATTCGTATGGATCTTGAACACTCAAAAAAAGAAATTTTTTTTTTGATCAAAAAAAAAAAGAGAATTGAATGACCTTTTAATTCATTTGAAATTGGAGAGTTGTTGAACCCCATTTTTATAATCGAGAGATTGGCACAATCCTATGAGGGTGTGTTTGGGTCTCATGGCTGGATTAGGTTGGATTAGATTTCAAACTTAATCTCATCCAATCCAATGCAAAACTAAATGCTCTAACTCATTTTTGTTGAAAATGTTACTACTTGATGTTATTATTTTTATGTTGAGCATGTTTATATAGGAACATAATTTTAATGCTAGTACAATTTCTAAGATATGAGTTGTTAATACTAATACAATTTTCAATTTAAAAGTTCTTAGTTTTTTTCAAACAAGTTTTGATTAAATATAACTATTGAGGGTATGTTGGACAATGTATATCAAAATGAACTTATCCTCAAAAAAAAAAATTTAAGTGTACTTAAATTCAAATAAATCTATAAAAAAAGACCGACCTCCCTAAGGCCCTTTTTTTTTCCCAAACAGGGAGGAGTGCATGGACCAATTTACAAACACCATGATTAAACTGAGATCATAACTATTGGACGTTAGATCGGGGGAGTTGTTCTTGTTCTTAGGCCCATTTGATTGCCACATATAACTATAGTTCGGGCACCCCAAAACCTGTAGGCATTGGTTTAACTCATCTTGGGTTTTGGGGCTGCTATAGAGTTAGGTTTGGCGGACTAGATCCCCATATCAATTTTTTTTTGTGAAAATTAGAAGTGAGTTTTTGTTTAGAGGTAAGTCTTATAAGAAAATTTATAAGGGACTAAACTTATGTTTAAAATTATATGTAATGACTTAAGTCCACTTTTTTTTAATCTAAAAAATACTCATTTCTTGAAAAGAAGTTAATCTTTTCTCTCTCATATCTATCTATATCCATTTGTAGGTTAAGAGTTTGACTAACATTAAAATTTTTCCACTCTCTTATCTATCTATATCCATATATATATATATATATATATATATATATATATAGTAACTTTCAAATATAAAAAAAAAAGTTACTATGAATTTGAATAGAAAAATTCAAACTCATATTACTATTTTTTTATTATATTACTGTTCATGTTACTGTTTTTATTGAGTATGTTACTGTTCATGTACTATTATTGTTGATCATGTTACCGTTTTTGTTGAGTATGTTATTATTATTATTTTTCTAAATATTAATATTCAATGTTACTAGTTTTTGTTTTTGAGTATTACTATTTTTTGTATTTGAATGGTTTTTTTTTTTGCGTTTGAATTTAAGAGAAATAATTATTGCTAAGTGTGTTATAGTTTTTGTTAAGCATGTTACTATTTTTGTTGAACATGTTAATATTTTTGTTGAACAGCTTACTGTTGTTATTTTTTTAAAAAAATTAATATTGAATGTTTCAATTTTTTTTATGTTTAAATGTTACTATTTTGTTGTGTTTAAATGTATTATTTTTTGTGTTCAAATGATAACTTTTTTTTGTATTTAAATGTTATTAATTTTTATTTTTAGTGTATATATATATATATATATATATATATATATATATATAATAATAAAACACATAGCAATTTGAATTTTTATCCCCTACATATTTTTTTTCCTAAAAACATCATATCACTCATTTATATCACATGTTTAATCATTTATATATTTTTCTCTTAAAAACATCACCTCATTCATTTATATCATATGTTTAATCATTTAATATTTGATTAATTTGTAGTTAATCATTTAATATTTGATTAATTTGTATATACATGTTGAAAAAATTTAATATAGTTGAATCGATTTTTTTGGCACTCGAATTTTATATTTTATAAGGCACGGGTTATGACTAGTATATATATATATATATATATAAGAAAGAGGAAAAATTTCAATGTTAATCAAACTCTTAACCTATATATGAATATGAATAAATATGAGAGATAAAAGATTTTAATGTTAGTCAAAATCCTAAAATTTAGGAGTTTTTAATTTTTAATTTTATTTCACTTCTAAAGGGAATGAATAGTATGATAAAATTGACAAAAAACGAACTTCATAGCAAATAAGTTTCATTGATGGACTTAAGTCCAAACAAGTCCATATAAGGGGACCGGCCTTCAAATTTCTCCTATTTTTTTTACTTTTTTGTCAAATCACATCAACTCTTATTTCAAAATAACAGATAAGTAGTGGTAGTATGAATTTTATAAAGAATCTGTACATAGCATAAAGAGCACAATGATCAAACATAATTTCCAATTAGCCCAATACACAAAACCATCCAAGGTCGTTCTTAGGGCTCTAGAGAACTTACTAAACACAAAACTGGGTGGGTGGATGATTAAGTACCAAAAGTAATTTTCAAGACTATCTCATGTGTAGTGAATGTTGCCAATTATTCATTTTCTTATGAATCTATCTATTTATCTAATAAATTGATTGATTTACAAAACCCTCTAAGTTGACTTTTGATTAAATATTTTGAGTTCTAGTTATGTATATAATTTCATATATATGCATTTTATGGTTTTTTATTTTAAATTTATGAGCTTTTGATTATTAATGTTATGTTTTCTCTGTCTCTTCCTCAAAATTTATCTTCATGAGAATCTTTAAATAGATAATACTTTTTTAAACATATATGCAAAATGCCCATGTTAATGATAAAGTTTAGGCTTTGAATTTTATAAGTCTTCATGTTCTAGGTAATATTCAATTTTTTAACATGGTTACTGCTATATATATATATATATATATATGAAACAAACAAATTAAAAGGAAGTGACTTTAACAAGACTTTCCTTCCCAAATGTTTAATTGCTATAGTTTTGAAACATTTAATTAATTTTTTTCAATCATATTATTCCATGTGTCTTTAGCTACTCCCACCCCATTTTTAAACTTCTTCACTTTTGAATTTTCAATCCTTTTTAATAATTATTACAAATTTTTTAAATATATTATTTTAACACATCAATGAATAATTGTCCTATAGTATTAGGGTTAGATAGGGTTGAGATAGATGATAACAAAGAAAAATTATAAATTATGTATATTGCACGGAATGACTGCTAGTATATATTAGATTAAAAAAAAGTATATATTAGATCAAACGAAAAAAGTCAATTAACTAATAATTTTAAATCCACAAAAAAGGTGCTAGGATTCAATTTTATGCCATTAGCATTCAATGTATTTTTATACAGTTTGTCGTCAATATTAGAGATGTTAAATGTAATTGTACGGTTTAAGTGTCATGACTATCAAGGTAAAAATATTTTTAATAGCGGTCTCTATTTTAAATAATATTTAAAAAAAATGAATAAATTATCTTTAATAAAAATAAATAATCTTAAATAATCTCATAAATTTTTAAAAATTAACACTTTAAAATAAAAAATATAGCTGAAATAAAGAAACTATGGATTATTAGGGGCCTGTTTGATTTGCATCTCAAAAAATAATATCCAAAAACTATTTTTGAAAAGAGTTTTAAGAAAGTGTTTTTAAAAATTTTTAGATTACAAAACCTGTTTGTTTATATATTTTTGAAAATTGTTTTAAAGAACAAAAATTATAAAAATTTTTTGGACAATAATCACAATTCCCATATCTCTTCAACTCTTTTTTCTCTCTCTCTCACTGTGTATCACCCAACACCCACAACCGAGAACCACCATCAACCCAACACCCACAACTACCACCAATCCACAACCACCATCAACCCAAATCGAGAACCATCAAAACACACCTCTAAGACCACCAACTAAATCGAGAACCACTCAACAACCACAACCACCACCCATAACCACCACCAACCCACACTGAGAACCACCCAACACCCACCACTAAGACCACCACCCAACACCCACAACCACCACCAACACACACCGAGAACCACCCAATACCCACAACCACCACCATCACCTAAACCAAGAATCACCACCCAACAGCCACAACCATCATCAAAGGATTTGTGCTTCTAATCGTTGGATTTGTGCTTTCAATCATTGGATCTATGGGTTGAAAACACATCATGGTGTCGGCGCAAGAGAAAGAGGTCAAAGAGAGATAGAGGTGAGGGAAAAAGAATACAAAAAAAAAAAAAAATTATATTGGTACAATAAATGCCCGGTAAATAGAATCTGTGTGTTTCTGTGTTTTCATAATTTTTAATTATTATTTTTTAAAAAAAATTTGAGAACGAAAATACTAAACATAGATTTTAGATTTTTTTAAAATTTTGAGAAAAAAAAATTGTTACAAAGATGATTAGCGAACAAGGCATAGTATTTTCTTTGGGTTGCTAGTATATAAACTCAACCTCTTGAAGCACTCACAGTATTTTTCCCGTAGTTTGGTTGCACCAAAAACAATGGCCGGCATTTTCTCTCCCGCTTCCACTGTTCGATCATCATACACAGCATCTCTCTCATCAGCCTCTTCCTGGTCTCTCTCCAGTGAAAATCGCCGGCACTCGTTGAGGTCTCCAGGCGTTTTCGTGTCTTTTCCGGATAGTGTTCCGGCAATCCGTCGACGAATTTCCTGTCAGTCCTCCGCGACTTCAGCAACTTCATTCCCAGTCGGTGAGAAAGGTGAGTGTTATTCTTTCAACTTTTCACATTTTTTTGCAATCAAGGTTTGATTGATTGGATTGACGGGGAGAAGAACAGGTGAGTGACATCGACGACTAGTTTTAAGTTGCGGCATTACTTTAAATGACGTGATATTAATTTGACTTCATTGAAATTTTAATTGTGGTGAAAATTAAGGTTTAGCGCTTTTGATCACTGAATTTGCCTTTTTTTCTTGAAAAATCACTGAATTGGCTGTAAGTTGGACAAACAATTGTATACTTTCAGAAGATGGAAATTGTGAATTTGACAACGTCAGTCATATGGACATTTTAATTGAGTTCGTTTCGCTTTCTTACTTCATTTGAATTTTTCAATATAATATTTTCTAGTCTTTTTGGCGGTTCTATTCTGAAGAGATCACGTTATTATGCTCTCTCTCTCTCTCTCTCTCTCTCTCTCTCTCACACACACACACACACACACCCGCCTATTTGGATTTTGTAGGCCGCTATACTGCTATTTGCTGATGTTTTGTACGAGTTCCTCATTTTTTATCATTTTGATGTATTTATAGGCTGATGCTTTAAGATTGCCGTCAGCTATTAGATTATTGCTTCCATTGCCTTTTGATGTAAACTCGTCCATTTTAAATCGTATTCTACAAAGTTGTTGAGTGGAAGTCCTTGTCTACTTGCCTATGTTGAGAAATGTGGGATGAAGGTCTAGGAACTTTAGGGGTTAATTAAGAACCTGTTTTGAAATCTAAAACAAAATTTTCCTTACTTTGATGCAAGTGGAAGCCTTTTATAATTATATGTTGCATTTTACTTTTCGAAATTTAAAATGCTGCAAGACATATTTGTAGCACATTTGTGCTTATTTGAAAGCCAAGAATGATCCCTCATTAATCTGCAGAATATTGTTTCAAGTTGGTAGATGCTTCTTGTTACTGCAAATTGCTAAAATATGATTCTGAACTCGTCACCAAACCTCACTTTTAAAAAGAGATGATGGGACATAATAATTTCTGATAGAAACACATTTTGCTGAAAATGTTAATTTAGGCAACGGATAGTTCTGAATATGTGATTTCTATACTTGCTGATTTTTTACCAGAAAAGGCAGGACTGAATGATTTCCTACACATTAGTGATTTCGACAAAGCCACTATTTTGAAGATTTTAGACCGAGCCAGGGAGGTCAAGGCACTGCTAAAATCAGGAGAGAGGACTTATCTCCCATTTAAAGGGAAAACAATGGCAATGATTGTTGCCAAGCCGTCCATGAGGACATGGGTGTCATTTGAGACTGGGTTTTACTTGCTTGGTGGCCATGTTTTGTACTTGGGACCAGATGATATCCAGATGGGTAAGCGAGAGGAAACTCATGATGTTGCCCATGTGCTGGCTCGCTACAATGATATCATTATGGCTCGAGTCTTTGCTCATCAGGGATGCTGGTGAGTTTTCTGTCGATTGTAAGGGTTATGCATTCATATATCTACTTGGATTCTCTCCCTTACTCTTCCTCTGCTCCTAAAAACACCACAGGTTGGTTTTAGAACTCACATATGTCTTTAATAACTTTTAACAAGTTTGGTTACACTCTATCAGGTAATAAAGCCCTACAACTTGTCGTCGATGTCTAATACTTAGTTTAAGTAATCTTTGGTGCTTCTATTATTTCAACCAATGGAATAGAAACTTGAAGAAGAAACAGAATGATCTATTTCTTGGTGCAGTACTAAAAATATCGTTGTAATAACCATGAGGTTGAGGTTTCAATCTGAGGTCGTATAAAGTAGAAAATGTTATTTGTGTCTGAAATTTAAGTAGTTTAAAAAGGCAAAAAGCTCTGCGATCATAGAATGTGTGTTATCTAGGGGATTTCTGATGCACACGTGTTCAAAGTTGAGCCAGTTCTTGTAATTGTTCTACTTTTGATAACTGTTTATCCTGCAACACCCTTAGGTGTAATCATCGTAGTTTGACACTCCTGTGGGATCTACAAAAAAAAGGAAAAGAAAAGAGAACCCCACGTCCTAAGGGGAACACCTCATTCTTATACTCTTTGAATAACGAATTTCTACCATTGAAACAACTAAAAGTTTGCCGAGCTGTTTCATTTTTCCAAGCGTCAATATCTCTTTGCCTTTGAGGAATGTAGTTCTGTATATTACTTAATTTTTGTTTTGCAGGACATCCTGGATATGGCTACATTTGCTACTGTACCTGTGAACAATGGCTTGACAGACTATAACCATCCTCGTCAAATAATGGCTGATGTCCTCACAATAATAGAACACATTGGTCAGTTGGAAGGAACTAAGGTTAACCCATTTCTACCTAGACAATTAATATGATCTCTGTTTATCTCTTGCCGTCATTGATTAAAACTGTAGTGGTTAGAATTCTTCTCTAATGTCATTTGATGACAATATAAATTGCAGGTTGTCTATGTTGGAGATGGAAACAACATTGTGCACTCTTGGCTACTGATGGCAGCAGTTATCCTTTCCATTTTGTATGTGCCTGCCCTAAAGGTATTGAACCTAATGAGAAGACAGTTCAGAAGTTGCAACAGGCTGGGGTCAGCAAAATTGAGATAACTGATGATCCAAAAGAAGCTGTTAGAAGAGCTGATGTCGTGTACTCAGATGTCGGGCTAGCATGGGGCAAAAGGAAGAGGCTGCATATCGACATCAAGTGTTTCAAGGATTTCAGGTACACAGTGAACACAATCTCTTTTCTTACTGACTAAACTCTTGCTTTTGTGGCATTTTGTTAGCTGAGCATTAAAACATGACATTCCATATTTGTTTCGGTTATTTCTTGTTCCTGATTAGTTCATGATTTACTCGGTTTTCCCGAGATTTATTTTAGAAAATAAACAAGCCAACTACATATTTAAAACTCACTATTATAGATAATGGCTCAAGCTAAAGATTGATAAGCTATTAAGCATTCTATACTCAATAAAAGAAGCCAAGCTATTTGGGCACAGCCAATGATTGGCTTGGTTGGAAGCTCGTCCGAGATAGACAGACACTAGATAAATGAATCAAGCTTGAACTTCATTTAAGTTCACTAAAATATGCAAGCCAAACTTGAGCAAATCTTGACTCAACTCCTTTCGAGTCCGCCTGTTATTCGGTTCCACATAGTGTAGGAAATTTAACCGTTCTACTATTTGGTTGTGCTTTAAATGGTATCCTTGTGGAAGTACAGAGGGCAGGAAGATATTTGGCAATTGTCAGAAGAATGTGATTATGGATTCATCTTTTGAGTGTAGTTTTAAGTCAATATTACTTGGATCGTGGATCGTTTTGGTATATAATACGACATTGTACGACACTTGTTTACGTAAATGGTTCGTGGGGTAGTGGTAGAATGTTTTGAGTCACAATTTGTTTTGAACTTTTCTCTAAATCGTTTTTACTACTATACAATATTATATATCATAGAATATCCAAGCACTAAATCAATCACCATTTTATGTTATATTTGTGCTCGATTTTATATTATCTAAAATAATATATAGTTATATATTTATATACGCATAGTCAATTAATATGTAGTTTATATTTGTGCTATATGTTTAAAAACAAATCGATTTAGAGTTAGTATCACAATTTGGTGATCTAGATTGCGAACCCACTCTATTTGGGATCGATGTATCCAGATCATCGATCGTTAGGTTGATAAGTATTTGGGTGATAGTCACTCTCTCTCTCTCTCTCCCACACGTACAAAACACCCCTTGTATGAATTTCTTGTGCTATTTTTAATACAACCACAAAGTAAAGTGAAAGAAATAAAAAAGATTAAGGGTTTATAGCAATTTTTGATACTTAAAAGTATGCATTTTTTTTATCAATTTAGTTCTTATTATATTAATTTTTTCAATTTGGTCTCTAAAGTATTTAATTCGTGTCAATTTGGTTCCTACATAGACAGACTGTTAAGTTTTTTAATAGAATGATCTAAAAAAATGGCACGTGGTCATTTTCATCAAAAAACTTAACGGTCCGTCTATTTAGAGACTAAATTAACACAAATTGAATATTTTAAGGACCAAACTGACAAAATTGATACAATAAAGACTAAATTGACAAAAATATACATAATTTATGGATAAAAATGCTGTTAATCCAAAGATAAAACTTGATAACAATTAAGACTTGAGGCTTTGGAAAAACAATTGCAAGCATGTTTTCGTAATTTGATGTCTTTGAAGTGGCACTGGCATGTAGACAGCTACTAAACATGACCTTATGTCCACTTGTATACCTTCATATTATCATTTTATCACTGTTCCTAGGCAAATAAGATGATGTAGAAAGTTCTGTTGTGAGTAATGGAACGAGTTATCGTTTGCAGTTTTTGTAGATCATCGTAAAGCGTCATGACCAATTTTTCCCTTTGGGTAGGGGTGTTCATGGGTCTAGTTACCCACGGGTCTCGTTACTTGACCCAAAAAAAATAAGTTTGATAGTTAACCTGATCAAATCCAATATCTTTCAAGGGAGGATTTGAGTTTACCTTCAAATTTATTACTCGGCCGAAAACTTGGCCCAATGGCCTGCCCACAAAGCCCATTAAAACTCAGCCCAAACACCTACCCTCCCAACCCAGCCCGTCAAACCACCCACACACTTTGCTTGCCCTTCGTTTAAAAAAAGGTTAGACCATTAAATTACAAAAAATATTGTTTATTTTTAAATGAAGCTATATACAAAAAAAAACCTGTCCGACAGAGCCCTCCACGAGATTGGTTCCTCAACTCATGGACGGAGCCACCCTTGGCCCAGGGTGGTCACTTGCCCCAACCTCAAATATTTTTAAAAAATTATATCTTTATATATATTTAGACATATAAAATATTTTATGGTGCCCACCTTGATTTTAGGACTATACCTAGATAAGTCATCAACACATTACCGTGCAGCCTTCGAATACTATTACCCATTACTTAAACTCTAGTTTAGTTTTTTTAATTACATGTTTAGTTTCATATATTGTTGGTCTCAAATTTTCTTTCTTTAAGGGCCCACCTGACTCCTGAGGTTTAATTCCATGCGGCTCAACTTTTAGCATTGGTAGCACTCCATAATTCTTGTTTCATAAATTTCTGAAGTCTATATGACAACCTTTGCATGTACATTAATTGCAGGTGGACGAAGAACTTATGATGTTAGCAGGACGAAAAGCCTATTTTATGCATTGCTTACCGGCAGAACGAGGTGTACAGGTCACTCACGGTGTTATTGAAGCTCCAAACTCTATTGTCTTCCCCAAGCTGAGAACCGCATACATGGACAGAATGCAGTCATGCTTCATGCGCTTGGCTTGTGATTCCACTCCACTTCCCGAGTGGCTCCATTTCAAAATCAGCCTCTTTCAACGTTTTTCTTTACATTTATATTTTTTCATCTTTGGCATTTCTAGATCTCTAGCAATGTAGGCGGTATCCTACATGTTTGTTTTCCATTAAATTAATGGAACTGAAAGAGAACTGTCTTTCATTTTTGCCCTCCTCTAAATGAGTGGATGGCTTAATTGCCACTGCAGCCTGTTGTTTGACTGTTAAGTTGCGGATTTGAACCTCACTGCTCCCTCCCCAGTAAACGTTCAAAATAGTGACCTCTAATGGAGGGCACCAGCCCATCAATGGAATTACATCCTGCTTTCAGAAAATGTATCAAATGACTAGAATTAAGTTTGCAGTTTGCTCAGTGTATCTACAGGATCTGATTACACTAACCTAACTACAGCAACTACATGGAATAAATGTGAAGAATACAAGATACAGCTTGTGCACCTTTCCTCCTTTTTACCTCTCTTCAAAGTTGAATCTGTTCCAAGCCGCCTGTGGACAATAGAACAGAAGAACATGTGAGATTCGAATAAAAGGTCGTATTACAGACAAGTCACAAATGGCAGGTGTAAAAAAGGTGGGTGTTGCCCCATTTTGCAGGGTAAGTTCTAGTCCTGCACTGGGAAGACGAGTTGCCTCCGTCAAGTTTAAACAGAGTGGCTTGTGGTAGTTTAGTTTGTAGAAGTTCAGCAGATTGCATTAGTAAGGATTCCTTTTTAAAAAAAAAAAAAATAGAACAATTTTACAGGCTGCAGCAATTTGTGGATTACAATTGATTTAGATGGCTGAAAAGGGAGCTACATGTTTGGTCTGCATTTCCAGTCATGGCATATAGGATGGTAACGTCATACGTAACAAGGAGAAGGGAGGAAAAAAAAACACTGTACAGTGGTATTTTCACATTAGTCGATACTGGGATCAAGCTTAGCATTTTAGAAAGTGAGAGGTTGATTCCATAATTCTCGTCACTGAAACGATGAAAGTATATACTTCATACAATGCTTGTGGATGTTCCTTTTACTCACCTCATTTATGCATAGGGAATTCTAAAACTTTGGTCAACAGTTAATATTTTAAGGAAAGGAGTTTGACCACACACCTTTAAAAGATCGAAAACCTTCTCACATGTATACTTTTGCTGAATGCTTGCACCCCTTTGCTGCAACTTGTCAGGATGAACATAAAGAGTTGCCTTCCTGTAAGCTTTCTTCACGGCAATAGTTGTTATAAGATCTGTTAGGGAGATTGGTTGCCAACCGCTATCAGGCCCAAGAATCTGCAAATAAAGGATACACGGTTAACACCAGCAGCAAGCAGTGCTTTATTTAATCCACCTCAATAAGAAAGATTCAATGCTGAAAATTTTAGATGAGATGGAGCAAGGCAAAAGAATATGGATAGTGTCATCCCCAACTGGAGAGATGGATGGATTTGGTAAAATTTCCGGTCCACACAATATCTCTGCCCAAATGTTGAATTTGCGATTAGTTCAAAGAAATAAACATTTTGCAGAGTGCAGAGATAAAAACTCGCAATGATTGTACATACATATTGCAATGTTGAAAGCAATGCGCGCAAGTTCCCTTCCTTCCCATTAGACCATCTCTTTACATCAGCATCAAGTGCTTCTGCTAGTCTCTGCAATTGAAATTGGAGACCCCGTGAGATTAATGAGCATGCAATATCAGCACTTTTGAAATCTCCTAGCCCAATAGAAAGAGGTAATTACATTTCTTTCAGCTTGCTCTCTCTGAGCAAGAACATCACGCATATTCTTCTCTGCTAAAGCTGTTGCCTGAAAGACAACAGAGAAAAATTATGAACAATCTTTGGTAAAAAGGTTCACGAACTAGTGTCCAAAACAAAAATAGGGGGGAAATGTATACCGCACGCTCCATTATCCTGTGGTGCCTCTCTAACCTTGCTTTCCGCCTTTGAGCTGATTCATTATTAGTTCCATCAAATCTCAGTGAATCCTGCAGGAAATTGTATCTACCAGTCATCTGGCTTGCACCTGAAGGGTATTCCTTCTTGCAACATGAAACAGTGAAAAAAACATTAACATACTGTAGCGATACTCACAGCGGATGAAGAGCTCTGCCTCATTCCGCTATCTCTGGAAGCACCAGAAAACTTCTCAGTGACAAGTCTTTCTGATTGTGCTCTTGCCTCAGAGGTAGCCTTTTGGGACATTGCTTTTTCTAGAGCGCGTTCCCGAGCCTCTGCAGTAGCCCTTTCTACTGCAGCACGCTCGGCTCTAAGCTTGGCTTCTGTGGAAGTTTTGTCAGCTGATGATTTAGTAGCTGTAGAAGGCTTCTCAATCTTTTCTCGAGGCTCAGCCATTATTCTCTGTCGAACTTCAGCAGTTGCTCTCTCCACAGCAGCCCTTTCTGCCCTTTCTCGAGCTTCAGTGAATGCCCTTTCACGAGCTTCGCGAATGGCTCTTTCAACAGCCACTCTATCCTTGTCCCAGTGTCTTCTCTGTGTCTTCTCCATTTCTGCCCTTTCCCTCTTGTTTGCTTCATCAGCTTCCCCAACCTGTTCTTTTGCATCCACTTCATTTTGCACAGTTTCCTTACTTTCCTTCTTTTCCATTATGAAGGAGTTATTACTACTCTCCTCCTCCTTTTCTGAATTCTGGCTTGTTTTGATCTCTTCATCAATTTCCATGGTTTTCTCCTTGCTTTCAGATACACTAGGTAGTTGAGCTCCGCGAATGGCTCTTTCAACGGCTATTCTATCTTTCTCCCAGTGTCTTCTCATTGTCTTATCCCTTTCTGCTCTTTCCCTGTTGTTTGTTTCAGCAGTTGTCCTAAGGTATTCTTTTTCCTCCACTTCTTTTTGCTCAGTTTCCTTGGTTTCCTTCTCTTTCATTGCAAAAGGTTCATCAAAATTCTCCTCTTTTTCCATATTTCTGCTTATTTTGATCTCTTCGCGAATTTCCATTGTTTTCTCTTTCCCTTCAGCTACACCAGGCAGTTGAGATTCTACCAATTTCTCCTTATTTGGCACCCATTCTCTTTCCTCATGAGCTGTTTCACAATTATTTTCTTGTACTTCCTGATCACAGGCTAGTTCATTCTCCTTGACATTTTCTGTGTTTCCTCCAGATTCATGAACCAATGTCTCAGTCCTATTATCATGTTCAGAGGCTGATTGAAATTCTTTGTCATTTTTCTCAATTCGTTTTGGTCCAAAGTTCATGTCATTTAAACCAAAATTTGATGGATTGTCATCAGAAGGAAGGGCCACAGAAGCATCTACCATATTGCTCTTGATCTCATTCTCTTCAGCAGCACTTTGAACTAAGCCAGCTGGTTCAATCACCTTCTTTTTCTCCTGCTTATATGCTACTTTAGCTGTTTCTGTCTCCTTTTCAACCCCTTTGAACTCACAAAAAGCTTCAGTAACTCCCAGTATCTTGTCATTCTCTACATGTGCAATTACTTCTTCTATTGTTTCCACATTGTTATCATGCACTTTATCTTTGCAAGCTTCTTGACTCTCACTTATGTTGTTACTTGCATCACGGTTACCAGCATCATAAACCGTATCAAAATTCCTTCCGTAAACTACATTCTGAGTCACTTCTGCCTTCTCAGGTGAATTGTCATCAGAAGGAAGGGCCTCAGAGGCATCTCTCATATTGTTCTTGATCTCAGTTCCTTCAGTAGCACTTTGAGACAATCCAGCTTTTTCAAACACCTCTTTTTCCTTCAGTTTGCATGCCACTTTAACTGCTTCTGCCTCCTTTTCAACATCTTTGAACTCACAAAACGTTTCAGTAACTCCCAGTATCGTCCCATTTCCTTTACGTGCAATTACCTCTTCTCTTGCTTCCATATTTTTATAATGTACTTCATCCGTGCAAGCTTGTTTACCCTCACATGTGTCTTTACTTGCATCATGCATACCTGCATCACAAAAAGAATCAAAATCCAATTCGCATTCAGTGTTCCGAGTCATTTCTACCTTTTCTTTTTCCTTCCTCTGATCACTCTCTTTCAGAGTACTCTCTATTTCTACATATCTGTAACCCCCAATAGGTCTTGTGTCATTTCTTTCCCACTCATACTCCTCTCCGGGTATCTTCTCACTTTCTTCCCCACCATGAGAATCAGTGGGACTCTTCTCATGAATTTTCAGCTGATGAACATCGTCCAACTTCTTCTCAGTGTCTTCTTCCTTTTGGGTCCCCATTTCTGCATATCTGTAGCCCACCGTAGGTCTTGTGTCATCATACTCCTCTTCTGGTATCTTCTCACTTTCTTCCCCATATCTGTAGCCCACGGTAGGTCTTGTGTCATTTATTTCCCACTCATACTCCTCTTCTGGTATCTTCTCACTTTCTCCCCCACCATGAGAATCGGTTTGTCTCTTCTCATCAATTTTCATCTGATGAACCTCGTCCAACCTCTTCTCAGTGTCTTCTGCCTTTTGGGCCCCTGTTTCTACATATCTGGAACCTTCGGTTGGTCTTGTGTAACTTCTTTCCGACTCATACTCTTCTTCTGGTATCTTCTCACTTTCTTCCCCGCCATGAAAATTGGTTGGTCTCCTCTCATCAATTTTTATCTGATGAACTTCGTCCAACCTCTTCTCAGTGTCTTCTGCCCTTTGGGCCCCTGTTTCTACATATCTGGAACCTTCGGTTGGTCTTGTGTCACTTCTTTCCGACTCATACTCTTCTTCTGGTATCTTCTCACTTTCTTCCCCACCATGAGAATCGGTTGGTCTCTTCCCATCAATTAGCTGATGAATCTTGTCCAACGTCTTCTTAGTGTGTTCTGCCTTTTGGGCCTCTTTTTGTTTTATGTCATTGCTTTGACCATCACAATGCTCTTCCAGCATATTTTCATGTTCCACGCATTGACAAACCTCGTTAGGTCTCTTCTCAATTTCTTCTTCATCACAAATCTTTCTGTGTACGCTTTCATAGTCTTCATTCTCATGGACAATTTCTATTATCATCTCAATTTGTTCTTGCTCAGGAGCCTCTTGCCATGTCTTTTCTTTTTCCATCAGCTCGTGGGTTCTATTTAGTCCTTTATCATAATTGTTCTGCATCTGCTCTTGGGACTCAAATT